AACAATGAAACATTACAGACTGGAAACAATTGACATTCGCAAATCTAAAAATTGAAAAAAGTTAAACAATCGATTAACCCTGTTCGTTTCTCGTCTATTACAAGCATTGCCGCCCTACAACATACTTCAATACAGACAAAGGTCACAGTACTTGAACGATGCCAAAATGTACTGTGCAAAAAAATACGATTCATGAAGCGATGTGAGCATGAATAAGATTGTTAATAAATAACATCACGAACATCATAATGTAATTTTACAATTCCTAAATAAGATTATATTTTTAGGTATGTTTCAATATAAATCTACTACACAAGATAGATGTGACAGAAGTCATTTAAATAACATGCCCTACTTGTAAAAATATAGTAAGACGGGCATTCAGCAATTCGCAGATAATCATAATACATTACGTCATCGACATCTGACAAATTAATGGAAGGCAATTTGTGTGTTTACGTCGAAAATATCTAGAAACATTAAAACATTACAGACTGGAAACAATCGACATTCGCAAAAATATAATTTGAGAAATGTTAAACAATCGATTAACCCTGTTCGTTTCTCCTCTATTAAAAGCATTGCCACCCTACCGAATACTTCAATACAGACGAAAGTCACAGCACTTGAACAAGGCCTCAAAGTACTGTGCAAAAAAATACGATTAATGAAGCGATATGAACTTTAATAAAATTAATAGTAAATAACATCACGAACACTGTTAGGTAATTTAACAATTCCTAAAAAAGATTATATTGTTAGGTATGTTTCAATATAAATCTACTACACAAGTTAGATTTGACAGAAGTCTTTCAAATAATATGCCCTACTTGTAAAATGTAGTAAAACGGGCCTTCAGCAATTAGCAGATGATTAAAATACATTACGTCATCGACATCTGACAAATTAACGGAAGACAGCTTGTAAGTTTACGTCGAAAATATCTAGAAACAATGACACATTACAGACTTGAAACAATCGACATTCGCAAATCTATATTTTGAGAAAAGTTAAACAATCGATTAAACCTGTTCGTTTCTCGTCTATTAAAAGCATTGCCACCAAACCGAATACTTCAATACAGACAAAAGTCACAGCACAGAACGAGGCCTTAATGTACTGTGCAAAAAAATACGATTAATGAAGCGATGTGAGCATTAATAATATTGTTAGTAAATAACATTATGAACATCATAATGTAATTTTACAATTCCTAAATAAGATTATATTTTTAGGTATGTTTCAATATAAATCTACTACACAAGATAGATGTGACAGAAGTCATTTAAATAACATGCCCTACTTGTAAAATATAGTAAAACGTTCATTCAGCAATTTGCAGATGATTACAATAAATAACAATAACGTCATCGACATCTGACAAATTAACGGAAGACAGCTTGTAAGTTTACGTCGAAAATATCTAGAAACAATGACACATTACAGACTTGAAACAATCGACATTCGCAAATCTATATTTTGAGAAAAGTTAAACAATCGATTAAACCTGTTCGTTTCTCGTCTATTAAAAGCATTGCCACCAAACCGAATACTTCAATCCAGACGAAAGTCACAGCACTTGAACGAGGCCATTATGTACTGTGCAAAAAAATACGATTAAAGAAGCGATATGAACTTTAATAAAATTGTTAGTAAATAACATCACGAACAACGTAAGGTAATTTAACAATTCCTAAAAAAGATTATATTGTTAGGTATGTTTCAATATAAATCTACTACACAAGATAGATGTGACAGAAGTCATTTAAATAACATGCCCTACTTGTAAAATATAGTAAAACGTTCATTCAACAATTCGCAGATGATTACAATACATTACGTCATCGACATCTGACAAATGCATAGAAAGCAGTACTGTATGTTGATAGAGAATTCTCTAGAAACCATGAAACATTACAGACTGGAAACAATTGAAATTCGCAAATCTATAATTTGAGAAAAGTTAAACAATCGATTAACCCTGTTCGTTTCTCGTCTATTACAAGCATTGCCGCCCTACCGCATACTCTAATACAGACGAAAGTCACAGCACTTGAACTAGGCCATAATGTACTGTGCAAAAAAATGCGATTAAAGAAGCGATATGAGCTTTAATAAAATTGTTAATAAATAACATCATGAACATCATAATGTAATTTTACAATTCCTAAATAAGATTATATTTTTAGGTATGTTTCAATATAAATCTACTACACAAGATAGATGTGACAGAAGTCATTTAAATAACATGCCCTACTTGTAAAATATAGTAAAACGTTCATTCAACAATTCGCAGATGATTACAATACATTACGTCATCGACATCTGACAAATTAATGGAAGACAATTTGTATGTTTACGTCGAAAATATCTAGAAACAATGACACATTACAGACTTGAAACAATCGACATTCGCAAATCTATATTTTGA